TACCCAGCCTGTAAGGGTAAGGTGAGCGGAACGAAGGTAGAGAAGTGGCGTTGCTGCACTGGCAGCAGCAACAGCAGCAGCGGGATCCGTGTCTTCTGTGAGCTTGAGGGTCCGCAAGCCTTCAGACTGCATGCAGCGGGCTGTACAGAAACCGGAATGATGCTGGCCTCAGCTCTTCCTCGCATCATTCAGACTGCCGCCCACGCATATGCAACACAGCAGCAACAGAAGCAGCAGCGGCTGCAGCAGCAACAGCAGCAGCGGCAGGAGCAGCAGCAAGAGGGCAACTGCAGCATTCCTGACTTCTTGCGGCCTCTTTCTTGGTTGCCGCGGAGCGATCGCATAAAGGCTGATGCGGCGCTGCTGCAGCAGTTCAGCGATGCCGCCATTGCGCATGCAGTTGCTGTTGAGGACAGCGCTGTGTGTGGATCAGAGGCAACAGGAGGTGCTGCTGCTGCTACCGCTGCTGCTGATGATGGGGTTGCTGCTGTGGAGGATACAGTTGGTCGAAATGCTGCTGCTATTGGCTGCAGCGCTGCACCTGTTGCTGCAGCTGCTGCTGCAGCACGAGGCTCTGCGCAGGGGCGCGCTGGGAGTCGGGATCGTCTGCGTTTTGTGGATTGGTCTCGAGGGTTTCTGGAGGCCCCCACAGACGGGCTGAAGTACAACGATGGCTGCGTCTTTCGCCTGTCAGCGTATCCGTTTATCTTACAAGCGGCGGCTTCTGTCTGCGGCTGGGCAGCGCTAACCCCCATCCCTTCCCTCACCCTCCGCTTCTTCACTGAGGTGTGGGGGCCAGGAAAGTTCCTCGTTACTTCGAAGGAAGTAAGACAACCTGCTGCTGCTGCCTGCTCCTGCTGCTTCCTACTGCTGCTGCTGCTGCTGCAGTCTCTTCTGCTACTGCCGCGGTAGCGGCTCTGCTGCTGCTCTTGGCGCTGCCCTGGGGCTGGGCTTGGTTACAGGGGTTCAGGCGCAGCCGCTATTGCTGGTGCTGCAGCAGCTGCTGCCGCTGCGAAGGTTCGTGCTGCTGCGGGGTCGGTAGCTTTTGCTCTCGTGTGNGTGCTGCAGCAGCTGCTGCCGCTGCGAAGGTTCGTGCTGCTGCGGGGTCGGTAGCTTTTGCTCTCGTGTGCGTTTTGTGTTGAACTCATGGGCTGCTAGGGCTCCGTTTCAATTCCATACAGAGCATCAACGCCTGCGTCGTTGCTGCAGCTGCATGGGTGCTGCGGTTGCTGCTGGAGTCGATGTGGTTTTCTCTGCGTTATTTGTGCTTGTAGCGAGCGCTGAACGTTGCCTGGTGGCTGCTGCCTTCTCGGCTGCAGCAGCATCTGCTGCCCTTCCAATGGGAGGGAGTCGCTTACGCGCTGCAGCGGGGAGGTTGTGCGATAATAGGAGACGAAATGGGGCTTGGCAAGACAGTGCAGGCCATTGCATGCATTGCGGTGTACAGACAGTTCCCTTGTCTTATAGTGGTGAGTTGCCGTTACCGCTGACCCTCAACGATCCTCACCCGCATAGCAAAGGGTTACCGCTTCTGTAGAGGGCCTAAATAGTGTATAGCATTGCTGCTGCTGTGCTGCTGCTGCTTTGGTTGTTGCTTCTGTTGCTGCTGCTGCTGCTACTTGTTTCGTAGGTTCCGGCGTCGATGCGCTTGGCTTGGGCGGATGCGCTGGAGGAGTGGCTGCCGGAGTACAGCGGGCCCCCGAATCTTCGGGTTTTGTTTGCAAGTGGGGATCGCCCGTCTCCTGGGGAGCAGCATTTGATTTGTTTGTCTTCTTTTGAGATGGCCTCTCGGCTGTACGACACTCTCAAGGCTACGCAGTACAAACTTGTTATAGTTGACGAGGCCCACAAGCTCAGGGGCCCTGCCGTCCCGCGACCCGCACCTTACACGGCCTCCGAGGCAGNGTTGACGAGGCCCACAAGCTCAGGGGCCCTGCCGTCCCGCGACCCGCACCTTACACGGCCTCCGAGGCAGCAGCAGCAGCAGCTGCAGCAGCTGCAGCAGCAGCAACAGAGACAACTGCAACGGAAGGCGCAACACTTCCAGACACAGTTGCAGATGACCCTGCCCTTACCTCTACGGCGTCTGCTGCTGCTGACTCCTGCAGCGAATCTGTGCACTTTTCAATGCCTAACCAGTCCCAGCAGCAGCAGCAGCAGCAACAGCAGCAGCGGCAGCAGTCTGAGCTTTCTCCCCGAAAACGCAAAAACTGGAGGCCACCCGGTAGCGGCCAGGAGGTGAACAAGAAGGTCTTAGATCTCGTAAAGGGCAGCCGCCACGCACTACTGCTCTCAGGCACTCCTTCGGTGAAGCTGCCCGCCGACCTGTTCCCCCTAGTCGATGCGTTGCTGCCTCCGCTGGAGCAGGAGGCTGCGGTGGAAAGGAGGCAACAGCAGCTACAGCAGTGGGGGCAACTTGAACTGGCCGCTGCTGCGGCAGCGGCAGCCACATTTGCCACTGCTACTGCTGCTGCTGCTGCTGCTGCTGTTCCATCTGCCGAGGCAGAAACACCGGAGAAAGACGGAACAGAAAAGCCGGCCCATACAGAAGGCGACGGCGCCTCCCGTGGGATCGTCCGATCCCCGTGGTCGGAGGCGACAGCGGCGTGGAGAACAGCTTCAGCAGCAGCAGCAGCAGCAGCAGCAGCAGCAGCNCGTGGTCGGAGGCGACAGCGGCGTGGAGAACAGCTTCAGCAGCAGCAGCAGCAGCAGCAGCAGCAGCAGCGTCAGCAAACATAATAACTGGGGGCCCGCCCGAAACCTTTGGACAGCCTTTGGAGTTGTCTGTCTCCACAGCCCATCAGGCGCGCGAAACGGAGACACTTTTATCCTTCGCGGAGGGGGGGCAGGCTAGACGACGTGTTGGGAACATACTTAGAGAGGAGAGACTGCAGTTTGCGGGTGAGGTCGGCTGAGCCTATTACCTTCTGTTGCTGACATTGCTGCATCATGTGCTGCTCGTGCTGTTACTTTTTGGTGGTTTTTGTTTACCTTCATGCCGCTGCATGCACGAAGCTGTTGGCTTCCATTCGCTTTTATCTTGCCTGTTGTGCACTGCATTCTTGAAGCCTCTGCAGGTCTTGTATGCATCTGCATCATACGCGGGATGTGGTACAGTGCTGGGTTTGCTGCGACGCAGAAGAGTACTGTTGTTCTTCGCGGGCGTTCGGCTCATGGAGAAGATTCGGGGCGTCTCTCAGGAGCTGGGAGCTTCACCTGTTGCTCACGCGAGCCGTCCTTGTACGCAGAAGAAAGACCCTTGCAGACCCGTCCCGGCCGGGGGCCTCACAAGGGGGAAGCCAGGGGCCCTCACAAGACGCATACCAGGGGCTATCTCAGCTATCTCAAGAGAATGTAGACACACAAGCTCGCTTACCCTCTGGCGATCACGCCACACAGCAAGAAGAGAAACAGGATTCAGGCGGGGGAGGGCCTTCTGATCCATCAGCTGGGGGCCAGGCTACTGCAACAGCATTACTTGAGGGGGCCCCGGCCGCCTC